GTTCCCATGTCGCGGCATCGTCTTCGTTTTCATTTGCGTGACGCAAGAGGCAGGGACGAGACAGAGACGCCAACTTGGCGACTTTGTGGGTGCAGCTGCAACAGCTCAAGAGCTGCCATGAGCAACAAAAGGCTGCAAATTAATAAATGAAAACGCATTCATTCATGCAACAACCGAATGGAATCTGGAGTTCCAGAACGAGTTCAGGTTCGGATTCCAGTTGCTGTTCTTCCTACTACTACTACTCAAAGGGCACATGTGTTGCCGAAACATGTTGCTTCATTAAAAGCGCTGTTTCGAGGATAAAAACTAAATATGAAGAGTGAAATGTGTCACTTGCCCGAGGCTGGCATCGTATTTCAACTTTGCGTATCGCTTCCCACAGGAGATCATAACTTCAATTTATGGCCACACACACGCACACCATCCAATCTTGGCTGCCCGGTCAAGTGTGTTTTCCGGGCTCTTGCTTGGTGTGGCTATATAATTTTTGCTTAATTTTGAGTTATGTGCAATAAAAAGATTTTATGTTGCGTAGAAATTATGTATGCCTCAAGAGCTTCTGACTGAGTTCCTAACTAATAAAAAACAGCTGTCGTAAACTTAAAAAATGCCAAAAAAAAAATAACAAAAAAAACGCAAGAAAACAGAAGGAAATAGAAGTAATAAAACTGTTGCGTGGGATATTTTTCACAGATACATATTTTAAATTGAACTGTCCACAGACTCTGTTTTGTGGCATGCAACAAATTTGCATGCACCATTTGTTGGCTGTCAAACTGTCTGCCTGTTCTGTCCCGACCTGCCCAAGACAGTTGCAGTCCCAGTTGAGGTTAAATTCATGACTCATGATTGTGGTAGTCCAGTAAGGCAGCACAAAAGCAGCACACGCTGTCAGCTGCGAGTCGTCTGTTCCAAATTGTGGCTTTTGGTTTTGGCAAAGAGCTGGGGGCATTAAGCATCGTGCATAGTTCACAGTCTGACAATTGTTTGCTTTGTGCTCAGCTGTTTGCTCTTTAAAAAGTCTTACAACCGGTTCAGATTCAAGTCTTGACTACGTACAACCCATAAATAATGAACACCCAGCAGCAATGTCACCAATGCGACGACTAAATCTAACTCCACGAATATTTAGCACTCGTATTATAAAAAGATTTATGATTATCTTTTAGCCTTATACTTTTTTTTTTGGCTATACTCTTTTTCGGAGGCAGTCGTAAATATTCTGAGTATGATTGCCTGCTAAATATTATTTATAATGTCTTTGAACATCATAGATCATACATCATGCATTTTTCCAACTACTATGTGAAATTAAAGCACAGCACAAAAATCAACCACGCCAATTAGGCATCGCAAGTCAAGCTGAGAAAAATGACTCAGTCAATAAGTCAATAAATGCCACAAGAGAACAATTTGCAAATTTATTGGCCAAAAATTCAATAGCAGCAGCATTAAAATTCATAAGTATTTTGAGCATGAAAGAGCAGCCCAATCAATGATGGAAAATCTTGTACTATAAATATGTACACATGTATGCGTATTTAGTAGTTTAATAATGTATTTGTATGCCAAAGTTCAAAAAGTGTTTGCGAACAACACAGAAAGACAATGAATTTGCAAATAGAAGTAGGCAAATAATAGTTTATTGACATTTGGGAAGTTAATTATGTGTACGTATATGAGTAAATGTAAATGTATATTTTTGTCTGTTGGAAAATATTGGTCAAAGTCATTAAACTAAGAGTTTGTAAAGTTTAGCTTTTGATTTTTGCAGTAAATAAAATTTAACTTTAGTTGCTAAATCAGCAAAGTCCAAAGTTAACAAGACATTCCATTTTAATTTTGTATTTGTGCCAACTTATGTGTTAGCCAAATGCAATTAATTGTTTACAGCCTGTACAAATGATCGGGACTTTACCAACAATATTGGGCACGAGGTTTGCCACGCAATCCAAATATTACGTATACGCAGCGCATACAAGGACAAACGAGCACATGCACTGAATGAACTGCAGCTTGGCAGCAACTTTTGGCAATTGGCGGTAATTGTTGCAGCTGCACAAGCTATTGCACTAAAAGAAAGCCAGTCAAACGCTGCGAGGCTGGACAAGTTCAAAGTTCAATGGAAAACGAGATAAGAAACCACAGGTAGCAATTATTGTCTATAGAAGAAGCGTGTTGGCAGCCCGAGGGGTTTTTGCAGCCAGCTATTGCAGGGCAAATAGAAAATGCAACTTTTGGGCAATGAACCTGCAGGCAAAAAAAAAACAACAAAAGGTTTTGCATTGAATAATCATATATAAGTTTGTTGTGTGATTACAGCACATTCAAAAGTTGTTGAGGCAGTTGCTGATTTTGCTGTTGCTGTTGCCCATCGACCCGCCGGCAACTTGCATTTTTCTTTTGTATTTTTCTTTTCGCAGAGCTGAGTAGAAAGTGCACATGGCAAGCGAGCTTACTGCATTTGTGGGGTGAGTGGCTTTTGCTGCCAGATGCCGGCTGTTTGCCTGCGCCTAATTAAAGCAACTGGCAACCACTGGCAACCAGACTGGCGAACTAGTCAACCAAACTCACGAGCCTGACAGCTGACGTCGCGACGTTGCTCGTGAGAAATGAAATCAATTGAGCTGCCATCGTCGTAGCGTCTAGCGATGCATTTGCCCCTTAAACGAGCTCGAGCTCGAGCTCGATCTCGAATTGCATTTGTCTGGGCCGCGAGCGAGTGCAACATGGTGTGGCATAATTAATCAGTGCAGTCAGCATTTGAAAGTCAAAGTTTGGGGCGGTCAACAATTGAGTTGCCGTTGCTGCCGCTAACACGCCCAGCAACTTGACATTTAATTGGCATTAATTACCTGTGTGTGTTTGTGTACTTTGCAACCAATAGTTGAATCGACGTCTAAAACTTTCACTGTCACGTCGCCTACGCCAAAAATGGCGAGTGAAGAGAGAGAGAGAGAGATAGGGAAAGAGTGAGATAGAGAGAAATTTCAATTGACAGTTTCAATTAAGGCATTGCGGTAGCGATATTAAAGAGATCTCGCTATCTAACGGCCTATGGAATATCCCCAGACATTATCAGCTTGACAGCATGCTGTCGCAACTGTTGCACTGGGCGCGAGTTTTTCAGGCGGTTTTTATCGCGCCTCAATTCACACGCACTGCAAAAAACAGCGCCGTTGCCTGGTTATTTGTTTTTGTTTGCTTTTTTCGTAATTTCGTACATTATGTGCAATTTGCTTTAATGCACTTTTAATGCAGACAATAACAACAACAAATAGGGGGGCTTGCTGAGAGTTTATGGCACAAAATGCGAATGACATTTTTCTTCATTAAATTCAACACATTGTCAACAAGTTTTTTTTTAGCAGATGATGCTACTGCTGATGAATCTCTCAATTTGCCTTGCCGCAACGATGCAAATGCATTTTTCCAGTTTGTCAATCAACGCAATGCTGGCTGGATTATGAAGACCACGTTGCATGTTTGACTGGCATCAAGTTATTTAAATGACCAACAATTTGGCGTTTAACACCTAATGTATTGCTGCACAATGAAAACAAGCAGCGGCATTAATTAATAATCAGATATGCCCCATTAACGCTACCACAAAGTGGTTCTAGTCACCACGTGTTCATCTTGCGCAAAGGCATGCCACACAAATAGATACAAATATATTTTTGGATGTAACAAATTTCGTGCCTTCAAAAACTCAAAATACATTTTTACTGTAACAACCAAAGACAAAACAGAAAAAAAATTGGATAACGAGATAAATTTGTTGTAGCTTTGTTTTGGTGTGGAGTGTAATTTTGTTAGAAATGGAAAGTTTTATTGTTGTCGTCTTTAATTTCAAAACCAAATCTCTCAGACTAAACGTTTGAATGCAGCTGCCATTTGCTGTTGTTCCCTCGTCTTTATTGTTGTTTGTTTTCCAACTGAAAATCTATTCAACTGACTCTTCCCACTTAAGTGTTTATTTGTGTTCACATTTATGATTAGAGTGGGGGTAAGGTATTTCATAAAAATATCAAAGCAAAGGCGTAACTTGCTTCAAATATTATTATAACTTACAGCCAAAGTGGGAAGCCAGAAACTTGCATTTTGTTTCTTCTGATGACTGCTTGCTACTCTGTTCAGTATAATTACATCACAATTTTGGATACAAAATGTGCCTTTTTAATTACGAAGTGAAAAGTAATACAAAAGTTCTATCTTTTAATATGTTTAAATATTAATTACCATACCTCCAACAAGGTAAACATTTATGCAGATCACAGTTAATATAAATAAGTACATTACACAAACACACAAAAATCCTTTTCACTCATTTTTTGCTCATTTCAAAACTTGAAATTGAACACTATGTGAAAGTTGCCAACTCAAATGAAAGGATTGAGTTTTACCCTTTGAGTTAATTGCTTGTCAGTTAAAGAGTTTCACACATTTTCTTAATGCGGGGCCAATTATGGTCTTTAATTAAATATGCAGCAAACAATATATTTCTCAGAAGCTCTAAGGCATCGCCAATTGTTGGCAACATGTATTTGCAATCTTTGCATGCGATTTGCAGTCGATGACAATTACAATGGGAGTTGGCAATGCTTCCCGGTCTTGCGACATGGCTGCCCGGCCTGGGAGCCAGCCCCCTTTCATTTCTCTCACCTGCCAGCCGTCGGCGTGCCCCCACATTGTTAGGGGCAGTCGTTTCGAATTACAAGTGCTTTACATGCCAGCGTGCTGGCAGGTCTTCAATTGCAATCACAGTTGCAGTTGCAATTGCTGTTGCCTTCAATTATGCACAAATGCATGTGAATATGTGTGTGTTTGCATGTACATTTGCACTTTGTTGTAAATTATAGTTAAGCGTGGGCGCTGGAGGCGTGCCATGCAGCCGAGTTGCAAGCTGTTACCAAGCATCGTTGCGCGGTTACGCATTTTTGCATTCTCTGTGAATTTCAATGGGAATATTATTGCTGGCTTAAAAGTTTTCATACCTGCGCGAACTTTGTTCCTGACACGTTTTGCTGCCCGTTTAGTTTTATGGTTTTTCCTGGAAAATATGAAGCAAAACATAAAGAAAAACATTACTTTGGTTATTGTCACAAATAATTGCAATGACTACAACTGAAGTCAGTACAGTTCAATGCCCGGCGGGCGCATGCAATTTTGTATTTGGCCAGCGCTCGTTACTTGAAATCGAATTACCAAATGTTAAGAAACCCTGCCTCCCACCAGCAGTCCGCAACTGTATGGCGCCAAGGCTGGCAGCGAGCTATAAGCAATGACCCGAATTCGATGCACGTTGCGATCGTATTTCATGACTCCCGTTGGCAATATACCCGTCCTGCCAAGCGACCAGTTGTTGCTCTTGGCTCTGCGCTTTAGCCAGGCCAAAGCGAGCAGCGTCGGCTGTAAGACATAGTTTATACTCGTTGCGCAGAAGTGTTGGCATTTGGGGGCATTTAATCGACACCAAAGATTGGATGTCGTCGTCGCCACACGTTGTAATCGAGCCCCACGAGCAGAACGGTTTTTTATTGTCACTCTTCTATAGAGCTGTTGACCAAGTTGCAGCCAGCTTATGCACTCGAACACTTGGCTTTTTTGCCTTTCAATGTGCCAACGTTAGGTGAGAAGAGAAAAAAAACTAGAAGCTATTATCAAGGTTAACATGCCAAGTGGTTTTGCTTTTACCACTTTTAATAGCTGGCCATGGATCACCTTGTTTTTCTGACTCGTTGAACCGACTGCCCCTTAATATAGCTGATATCAACCCAATTTGTATTGGATTGTAGACAACCACAATTAACTGCCATAACGAGTATAAATCAAACATGCAACTCCATAAATTTGCATTTTGTTCTAAGAGCTATTTAATTTATAAAACTGGTTTTTTATGCAGACACACATAGGTGTAGCTGTGGAATTTAGAGGGTGTATTTCAACAACCAGTTATAAAAAAATCACTACTTTTAATTGTTTCTCAACACTGCATGCCATCCACAGCGGACACGAGCTCGAGAATAGTGTTGATTTCAGGCAATTTCAGCACAAAAGTTTGAGTCTTTTTTTTTGGGATTAAAGCTTAAATTTAATCTGATAGCTGATAGATAAATATATAATGCTATATTGATTCGGTATTTAAGTATGTTTTTAAAGGGCTGACTCAAAATATTTGACACAAATCTGTATATTCCAAAAATTATATCAAACGAATTAAAAAATGTTTAGTATACATAGTTTGATTGATTTGAAAATTTTGGAGATCTAGCAACTATTTTTCCAAATGCTTCCTTCAAAATTAATAGATTTATTAGGAAATAGAGAGTATAACCCCTACTTAGAGGACGCTGGAGCGACTCAAGTACACACAACTTCTCAGGGTAATTAATTGCAGTGTGGAGCTTTTTAATTAACACTGGTTTCCAAACAGCATGCAATGCGCAGTCATAGAACGCAGATAAACAATACTGGGGAGGATTACGTGGCGGAAGGGGTTGGTTCCGTGTCGATTGGTTAGTTCAGTGGTGCTGCTAACGGCTGTTTAATTGACATACATTTCATTTAGCACTTGATTCGTGGCTGTGATCATTAACATTATGAGTGACAGCACAGCGAGTGGGCTGCAATTAAAGCGTGCCGCGATAATGTAAGAACTGGATTTCGATTCGCATTTGGATTTCGTATTCGCCATCAAAATCATATGTAATTAATTGTTTGGCATTTTCTATGCCTCTCGTGTAGAGTTAATGGCCCTGGGCTTCATAATAAGCACACATTGAAATTGTTACTTACCAAGAATAGCCAAATAGTGATTTAGATCTACAGAAACTACCAAAAAAAAAAAAAACAAGAAAAAAATAGAAAAAACAGCTCCAAATTGTATGCGTCGCATGTTAAGGAAGTCGGTTTGCCTACCTTATGTGGATTCAGCAGAATTTCAACATCTCCAAATGGAGTACGTGAACCGCAATCTTTGCCAGTGTTGTAGTCTCAGCCCACTGCTGTGTGTGCTGTGTGGGGAAGGGGGGTGAGGGTGATAATAAAGCAAACACTGAAGGTCATTACCGGAAAAACGGGTTTTTGACTTGTGTCTGCACCACCAAAGTCAGTAAGCATTTAGCATTAAAATACCGTTGGGATTATGGCACTGAATATGCATGGGCGTTTCACCTTAATAGCCAACGCTAAATGTTGCCAGTTGCCAGTTACAAGTTGCTGGTTATTCTACTAGTTACTAGTTGCAATTCCAGTTGCCCGATGCTCCGTTGAAAACTGGTTGGAAGTTGCAGCAGCAACTGCATCTGCATAAATGATGCACCCAGAGAGGCATTTGCAAATTGTCATTCCTCGGAATAGGCACAAGAAGATAATGACGATGAAGACGACAACGATGATGATGGACTCGGGGATGACACGTCAATTGAACGGGCTTAAAGTCTGCGCCAGGGCAACGCCTCATTGCTATATGATGGTTGTTGTTGTTGCTGGCGCTTAACTGCACTTTTTAAAAGGTCTTTGGCTTGCATTAAGTCGATGTAATATTAAGACATTATGTGGCAAATTTTTTTATGTTCGTCATTATGATTAATGAGTCTTTGGATATTAAGTAAAGGAACCCATTAAATTAGCACCATACTTTGTATACTTTATTTATGTATATATGATTAGGTCGAGTTCTATCAAATAAAAACTTCTCAACAAGTTGTAATAAATTTTGCAACATTTGTACCTCTAAAAACTATTGAGACTTGCAACACAGTCCGACCGCAAAAGATGACAGCTTATAAACAAATTTGCTTTGAATAGAATGACAGTGAGACATTTAAATATCACCGACTAGATTTTCATATATAATCAATAATATATATACTTTATGAGATCGCAGATAGCCAGATAACATCTAACAGATAATTAGCAGTTGAATAGCGATTATGTATTGACTCATAGCCAAGAAACATTGTCAGTTATGACTGTTCACCTGCCGTTTGAATAATTTCAGGTTATTTTTCAAAGCATTCCCCGAATTCTACCAGAGTCAATATATTTATACATATTTTTAGCTTTCAGCTTAACAAATTGGTTTTAGCCTCTTCCCAAATGTAACTGTGATTGTCATCAATGGATAGGTAGCTAGCTACTCGGAAACCGGTTAAACACTTCTAATGTGCACATTGTGAACACAGCCGAAGTTAGAGTCAACAAGAAATTTAAGCTTTTTATGATATGTTATTTATGCGTCGTCAATGACACAATCCCCCAAAAACCCAAATGACTCTGCTGCTTTGATGCTGGCTAGCTGTTGCCTATGCCGTTCTTTTCTAACCGTTAACAGGCCATTGCAACACCATTCGAAACGCAAACTGCAGAGTCTTTGGCCTCGTTGCTGCAGCAACCAACTGACTGCAACTTTCTACAAAAAAAAAAAAAAAAAAAACTAAAAACAAGTTGAGTGGCATCATTTACTTTATGCAGCATGGCTACGCCCAAGCGTCCAAGTCCAAGTCCGAGTACGAATCGCCTCAGAATTGAATGCTTCAATGGAGCAAAAATCGTTTGGTAGCAAGAAACGTCACTGCAACTTGCAACTTCGGACTTGCCCCTTTTGTGCGTGCTCGTCGCATATGTCACTCGCTGTTGATTTGCTGCAAAATGTCATTGCAAATGAAGCTCAAGTTAATTTGCCACGCCTGGCAGCCAGACTCTGGCGGCATGACCATTTCCACTTGAGTGCAACCCAACGCAATGTTAATATATGCATTAATTTTGGTTCATTCACAGAGAGTTGGAGAGTCGAAAAAGCGCAACTTAATTGCGCGCTTGGCTGAAGCAAAATGCTATTTAGCCAGACAATTAATTTGTCAAAAATAAATGGCCGGCTTGGTGGCTGTGGGCTGTGTGATTAGTGCCGTAGTCGTAGTTGCTGTTTGTTGTTGCCCCGGACAGACTTTGGACTCGTTTGCAGGTGTCGCAACTTTCACCTTGACCGGTTGCCGCCAAATTGAAGTCAAGCATCTGCAGTATCTTCATTACTGCAATGCTTAACTCAACTCTACGGCAAATACTTAATAATTAGTAAACAAAATCTGACGCATTTAATTAGATAATATCTCCCGTGCTTGTGATGTGTTCACATCACAGTTGTGGTGCCACAACAAAGAACTTCCCTTCACAAAATGCGACTCATTTGCGTGTTTGCCTATTTGCATTTCAAAGCTCGCCAAATTGAACAAAGCCAACTGCAAAAGGCATTGAAGAACTTGGCATTTTGGGTAGTTAATTAGCGGTAACACGTCATGATAAACATCCAAGAAATAACTATACGAATAGAAATACGAAAGGTGCTCACAACATGAAAGCTGAAAGCCACATCAAAAAAAAAAATGGGTAGTCGACCCTATGGAAATCCATATTATTGATCGAAAGTTGAACGAACTGCGACGAGATTGTAAATTGGTAGCCGTGTAGCAAATCATTTTGAGCTCTTAAACAAATAGAGCCACACACAAAAGGCAAACATTCTGCGTAGACAATCCGTGGCATAACCAATTAATAAAAAGAACATCGAAATTTGTTTGTACTCTGCGTCGACTATTACATACCCTGCTAGATCTATCGATAAATAAATGAAACACCTAATTAACTTGCTAATTTTATAATAGATCAAATAATTGTGTGGCGATGTTTAACTATCTAATTATATACATGGAGTTTTTGATTTAATATTTATGTTTGGTGGAAAACAAACTGAATACCTCAGCTGACTCAGACAATTAACAACTTTGAAATCATTTCTTAATGTATACTCATTACAAGCGAAATAATCGGTAAGCAAGTAATATAATTATCTTTAATAAACCCAGGATTGCTTTACAATCAATTCTTCTGCGAGCAATAGCAATAAATCAAATTGCTATTTGGCAATATTTTGAAAGCTGCGCAAATTTTTAAAAATAACTACTAACTACAAGTGGTCATTTTAGCTGTAACGTTGCGTAATCATAATTTTGTTGATTTATCGGAGGTGGATTGCTATCACAGAAAATATTG